TGACAACAAAGTCAATGTGTGAGGAATGGCAAAGCTGACATTTAGAAAGCACTTAGTACCTCACCAGTGTGCTACCTGGCTTTGCAACTCTTGTTATGTGAGAGATAGACCTGTATTTAAGTCACCGTTAGATTTTCTGTTGCTTGCAGCCAGACATAATCCCAAGAGAAGCAAAATCCTTCTTCAGCTCTTTCTTATACATGTGCAGTTTATGGCAAATTTTAAGATAATGTCCCTAATTGACCCGCTTTTATTTTTTACAGGTTATAATGTCTTATTGAAAGGATTTAAAACTATCTGTCTCATCAATTTCTAAACAAAATTTAATCTTTAAAAATTATATTTGACCACTCTATTCTCTTTCGATCAGCTGGACACATCTAGTTTCTTTCCAGTAAGTAGAGCAGTGCCTACATGCCCATCAGCTTTCTTATAAGGACACTGGTACCTTATGGGGCCCACCATTGTGATCTCATTTAATCTTAATTATCTAAGGCCCTATCTCCAAATACAGTTCTAGATTGCTTTTCTTCTCAATTAATATTGTTTTCTTTGTGACTCACACTATTTCCTTGTTTCCATTGCCATTGCGTTCAGATGCATCATAAATTCATTTTCCTAGTTCAGACCTCTGGTCTGAGTGTCAAATCGTTGTCTCCAACTCTGTACTTGACATCCCCTTTAGGATACCTAAACAGCACTCCAAGCCCAGGGTGCCAAGCCAGACCAGTGAGCTCCCTTCCAGCCTCTCCTAGGTACTGAGTTATATGTGCTAGAAGTGCATTGATTCCCTTTCTCCTGCTCCTCCCATGTCTAATGAATCACCAAGCTGTGTGGCTTTTTCCTCCTGAATCTTCCCACTCCTTTCCATTTCTCCCTCCAGGCTTTCATCATCTCCTGCCATGGATTTTCTGCTTCTAGGCTTAGCGTGCTTAAACCAGTGTTTTGCTCTGAAACCAGAGAGAGCTTTTCATGATACTAATTTTTTCATGTCACCTGCCTGCTTAAAATATTTTAATTGTTTAATTGCTTAAAATACCACTGAAAATTAGCCTATTTGCAATCTTTGAATAATCTGTTAATGTAAAAGTATTTTATCATATAATTTTAAAGTTATATAATAACTTTAAAATTTAGTTTAGTTTCACTTACTAATAATTTGTAAAATTATTAGAGCAGTTAAATAAAATTTAACTGAACACAATAAATAAAATTTATTGAACACATGAATATAAACATCTCTCGTGGGACACAGCAAGTAAATGTATCCAGCAAATATGTTCAATTATGCAGAGATGGAGTATTTTAATATGCTGATCTTCTTGTTAATCTCCTGAATCATGGCATAATTGGCTATCAGAGGATTTGATATTTCAAATCAGGTGGTCAAATCTTTGGCCTCACTCTCCATTATCACGTTGAATGAATTATTAATAATTCAGTCTTAGTGCTTTGAGTCAAGCCTATTAAGAACAATCGAAGTTTCAGATTTTCTCTAAAAATGATATAAGAAAGAAAGCTCTTTTATTGTATTCAATTTTAAATGGAAGCATAATTGCCTGGTAATGCCATTGTTTAGAATGCTTTTAAAGAGAATCTTCAATCTTTGAGATGCTTCCCATGAATCACTAATTAATGTAAATCTTCTTCATTAAAAGAATATCTGACTGCTTAAATCATGGTTAGAGAAGTGGTAATTCTGCTCTCTGCTTTTCCAATTTATGAAATCCATTTATTTTACAGTGCTTGTATTAGAGTTTGATAAGTTATATGGATCTCCTATGAGTCCATATTATGTGGTCACTACCCAGTGAAATAAACATATTTGTTCCTATTATCTATTTCCTGCTTTGAATCACGTTCATACATTCCGTGCCTTTGTTATGTATCTATAACATACCCTGTTGTCAGTCACAGCTTGTGACCCAGCCCATTGTCTATCACAAACCCTTTCTCCAGTAAGTCTAACTCGCACAGCAACAACCATCTCTATTTTCAGCCTTCTACATTTGTGTACACACCACAAATCTGTCAGTTCTCTTTCTTAGTGAGGTGATTGCTCCTGAAAATACATTTCAGTATAGTATTGTACATTTAAAATACCACTGAAAATTAGCCTATTTGCAATCTTTGAATAATCTGTTAATGTAAAAGTATTTTATCATATAATTTTAAAGTTATATGATAACTTTAAAATTTAGTTTAGTTTCACTTACTAATTGATTTGTGTAACCTTTGTCTAAACACCAGTGGCCCATTCATTGTTGGAATCAGGTTTTAAATTTCATTTATCTAAGTTTACTACAAAACTGGATACGTAACAAGCTCTCAATAATATTTGGTTATTAACTGGATTAAATTCTGGAATATTTCACACATATGAGGGTATTAACCTGCTTGAGCTTCTATGGACTTGAGCTTTTATAAGTCCATAGACTGCGGGACTTAAATGACAGAAATTTATTTTCTCTCAGTTCTTGACCAGAAAGTCCCAGATCAGAGGGCCCGCAGATTTGGTTTCTGGCGAGGACTCTTTCCCTGGCTTTGCTGATGGCTGCGCTCTCCTGTGTTGTCACGTGGCCTTTCCACTATATCTGCATGGAGAGAGATCTCTGTGGTGTCTTCCCATTCTTATAAGGACACTGGTACCTTATGGGGCCCACCATTGTGATCTCATTTAATCTTAATTATCTAAGGCCCTATCTCCAAATACTGTTCTAGATTGCTTTTCTTCTCAATTAATATTGTTTTCTTTGTGACTCACACTATTTCCTTGTTTCCATTGCCATTGCGTTCAGATGCATCATAAATTCATTTTCCTACTTCAGACCTCTGGTCTGAGTGTCAAATCGTTGTCTCCAACTCTGTACTTGACATCCCCTTTAGGATACCTAAACAGCACTCCAAGCCCAGGGTGCCAAGCCAGACCAGTGAGCTCCCTTCCAGCCTCTCCTAGGTACTGAGTTATATGTGCTAGAAGTGCATTGATTCCCTTTCTCCTGCTCCTCCCATGTCTAATGAATCACCAAGCTGTGTGGCTTTTTCCTCCTGAATCTTCCCACTCCTTTCCATTTCTCCCTCCAGGCTTTCATCATCTCCTGCCATGGATTTTCTGCTTCTAGGCTTAGCGTGCTTAAACCAGTGTTTTGCTCTGAAACCAGAGAGAGCTTTTCATGATACTAATTTTTTCATGTCACCTGCCTGCTTAAAATATTTTAATAGTTTAATTGATTTTATGGTAAGTACATAAATCCTTAACGTGACTTAGTGCCCTGTGCCTGTCATATAGTTGGCACTCAAATACTTGTGGAAGAATGTGTAAATGGACTTGTGTAGGCTACAGTATTTGCTTTAAAAATAGTATTGCCACATACATACATATCTGTATGTATCTTCCTTTTGTTCATATTTCTTTTAGATATATTTCTAGAAGTGAGATTGCTGGTATAGTTTGGTTTTCATCTATTAAGTATCCAGGTTGATAGAGCAGTTGGTATAGTACCTTGCAGCTATCAAGAACAAAAGAGGCATCTCATCCAGAAAGATCAGTGATGATTTATTAATGAAGCCATCCTTACCTTCTATCTGATGGAAGGGAATTATATCCTTAAAGAGCTGCCTAATGACTTAAGGAATTTTTTTGAGATTTTATGCCAAGTAGCTTTAGATTAAATATTTTATAAGACAGAGCAAGGAACAAATGAGTCAAAATGTTATAGACATAACAAATGTGACTTATTCCTATTTTTATTTTGCTTATGTTTTAATTAATGAAAATTATGGAAATTAGGTAATTTAAGGAAAGGAATAACTTGAAATGGGGTGGTGACATAAAGCGCTAAGAAAAATGTTGTATGATTTATAATTTTCATAGAAGTGATCTGTTTACTAGTGTTCTTGATACTGGGTAGATGGTGTTTCAGGGACATAGTCTTCCTTCTCTGCCTCTTTTGCTCCACTCCCTGGAAGGAGGATGTGTGCGGGGTGCTTGTGAGGTAGGCAGAAAACAGCATGAAGCTGTCAGGTACTGGAAAGGTGTGGACTAGGGGCATCAGGTTACCAATAGCTCTGCGCTTACTAGTTCTGTGACCTTGGACAAGCCAGTTAATCTCTGTGAAACTTACTTTCCCCATCTGAAAATGATACTAACCACTGACTTACATGCCACCTAGATTGGATGTGATCATTTGTTTTATTATTTATTAATGCATTTATTTATTTATCTTTTAAAATTCGTTATTGTTTAAAGTATTGCATATGTCTCTTTTTTCCTCCATTGACCTCTCCCCAGCTATTCCCACCCCCTATCACATGCCATCACCCCTCTGCTATCTGTGTCCATAGGTTATGCTTGTATGCATGTATACAAGTCCTTTGGTTGATCTCTCCCCCCCCCCCCCCCCCCCCCACCTGAGGTTGGATGGTCTGTTTGATGCTTCTGTGTCTCTGGATCTATTTTTTTTCATCAGTTTATGTTGTTCATTATATTCTACAAATGAGTGAGATCATATGATATTTATCTTTCTCTGACTGACCTGGAAAGCATTATGCTAAGCGAAATGATGTATTTATTTTTAGAATTTGTTTATTTTTTGAGCTGATACTAAAACACTATATTACTGATTCTAATCATGAATTTGTATACCAAAACATTAAAAGCATGTACTACAGAGACGTTAATGGCTTTAAGAACCCTTTTCAGCAGCTTATCAGGCTGCAGAATAATTTGCAAGAGACTCTTAAGGCAATGAGAGTACCAAGAAATTCTAAAAGAGTTAATATGCTCAAAGGGAATACAGAACTCTATGACATTCATCACTAGCTTCTTACAAATTTCTCCTATTTTCTCTCTTGCTCTACTGTATGTTTTAATACTGAAATGTGTAGATCATGTAGCTTTATATTTGTTATTATCTTATTATTAATTTTGTGTCAGCTGCTTTGTGACTGTTTAAGCAGAACTTTGCTGGAATTGTTCTGTCTGTCCTTTATTGTTCCAGGCAATGGGCCACACCACGACCGTTGCTGTACTTATGATGAAAACAACGTCGTGGATGGTGTTTATCATCTTCCAATTGGACACTGGATTGAGGCCACCGGGCACACCAATGAGATGAAGCACACAACAGACTTCTATTTTAATATTGCAGGCCACCAAGCCATGCATTATTCAAGGTAAAAATAGTGCCATGTTTATAAGCATAGAACTAGGGCAAGAGGTAGCATTAGGACAATGGAAATATTTACAGCATTTGAAACTGCAGCGTCTCCCTTCAGAGGGGTACATAGGCCTGCAATTCTTTGAGGGGATGGGTTACAGTGAATCACTGTGTGAACTTTTCTGGTTCTAGATGTGAAGGATCCTTTTCATAGAAGTTTTTCATTAAGTTCATACCCTAGTGTCAACATATTTTGACCAGAGAGTAGTTCAACAATCTTTGTACTTAGATAGTGGATTAAAAATAAAAACTGGATAAAAATACCCTTGATCACTATTTATATCTTTTATGCTACCAAACAACAGGGAAACAAAAATGGGAGTCTTCTTATAAAATCTTATTCAAATAAACATGGGTGAAAATTTAGACATAAAACTAGATTGGATGTGATAATTTGTTCTATTATTTATTAATATATTCACTTTTATATATTTGTTTAGTTATTATACCTGCAATATATGCCCTATTAAAAATTTAAACACAAGAGGATACTAAATCACAAGTAAGGTTTACAACATTTTTTTTTTTTTGATGCCCTTGACTGGAATCGAACCTGGGACCCTTCAATCCGCAGGCCGACGCTCTATCCACTGAGCCAAACCAGTCAGGGCACAACATTTTCTTTATTCCCACTCATCATAAATAACTATATTTAACCATTTATGATTAGTTTTTCTGGAGGTTTAAATCCAAGTCTTAAATAATGTGCATATACTTTATTCATTAATGTATCAATTTAAAAATTTCTGCCTAGCCAGCATGGCTCAATTTGGGTGTTGGCCTATGAACCAGGAGGTCATGGCTTGATTCTTGGTCAGGGCATATGCCCAGGTTGTGGGCTCAATTCCAAGTGTGGGGCATGCAGGAGGTGGCCAATCGGTGATTCTCTCTCATCATTGATGTTTCTATCTTTCTCCTTCTCCCTTCCTCTCTGAAATCAATAAAAATATATTTGAAAAAAATTGCTATTGGTTCCCTCTATGACTTGAGACAAATGTAGATCTTATATACTTGTTCTCTCTCCCTATTTCCAATCCCTATTAGACTCATTTAAAAAATTCTTTTGTTATTTAAGTTCATAGAAATTCTGTTTCTTGAGCCATAAATTTATGATAGTGCCTCTTGATATTCTACTGCGTAATATCAGAAATGTATTGCCCCTCTATTTCCCTCCACAGCTACTTTGGCCTGTTCAGTTCTGGTTTTCATTAGTTTTACATTTTCAAGGTTTTACATTTCATTTAGATAAAATTTACATTTCATTTAGATAATAGAAGTAAGTATGTAATACTTTGATAATTTCAAGTTTCAAACCAATATCCAACATATAAAATACTGCGTATATATTATTTACAGTAGAACATGGAGTGCTTGTACCATAGACAAAGAGATGCATTCCCATTTTCTTAAAAATTGTATTGCTTTGAGTGTGAGAGAGAATTAATACTAACAGAGCTATGAGGGTTAGGAGAGAGGGAGAATACAACTTCATCATAGTGTTAGGGAATCGATAATCTTCTTGGACACACCTTCCTTGCAAATTCATGCTAGATCTTGGTCTTGCAGTTGAATAGGAGGCAAAGCATGAGGAAGACAGTAGTTAAGCATGACTCATGGTTTTATGGCCTGAGTAACTGGATTAATGGTGTTCCTGTTTCCTGAGATGGGGAACATTAGGAGATGAACAATCTAGAATAGGGGTTGAGAGAAAAATTCTGTTGTAGACATATTACCTTTGAAATGTATGTTAGATTGCAGAAAGGAAATCACTTTGATGTGTGAAGCTTTGGGGAGAGGTTAGAAATGGAGAGATAAAATAGATGACGTTCAAAGTGATGAGACTAGATGGGATCATTTAGCATTTGAGTGGGGTATAGAAGAGAAGTAGTGAAAATAGGCTTTTGAGTCCACACAATTTAGATACCAAGTAGAAGAGGAGGATCCAGAGAAGAGAATGAGAAGGAGCACCTGTTGAGGAACATCTGTTGAGATGTTCAGATTTAATGAGAATGTGTTTATGGCTAGTTTTTCATTTATCCTGAACCACATTTGCTGAACCCTTTTATCTGAAAAGTCATGTCTTAGGTCAGGGGTGGGCAACCTTTTTGTGAGTGTGTGCCAAAACCAGCAAAATCTCTGACTCAAAATTCTTCTGCGTGCCAACCCTAATTTTTGGAGAACATGTTAACGCCTACTTGACATCTCTTAAGGTGTACGTATGTGAAGAACCTTGAAGAAATAATAAAATTCATTCGAGCGACAAAAACACAGTATATGATGATGAAAAATACATTTATTTTTTAATGTGTACATGTGCACTGATATTCCGACAGAAAACTTTATGACTCCGTTTGATATTATCAGTGGGACTTTTGCTGCTGCATCACTGATGACAGAGATTTTACATCAGGTTTATATTTCGTGACCTTCAGAATATGCACGAGCTACTACTTTCATCCGTCAGGCTACTCCTATTACGAGACTTAACAAAATTCATCACTGAGAACAAAGATTCACAATTGTAAATGCAAGATAATCAGAGAGGGTTTCGCATGCCAGCAAAAGTTCTGGCGTGCCATGTTTGGCGCATGTGCCAGGGGTTGCCCACCCCTGTCTTAGGCTCTAGGGCAGCAGTCTGCGAGGTCTGAAAGGTTGGCTACCGTTGCTCTAGGGATTTTCTTCTGTTTAGTTAGTTTTTCCTTTTATTGTCTTTATTCTGTCAATAAACACACTCCTGAGATGGATGTTGGATTTTACGGATTTACATCCCATTCTAGAATTTTAAAAAATGATTTTCACTTTCTGGTTTTATTGCTTTACATTTTGGGGTCATTTTATTCCCCCCCATTTTGCACAAGGAAATATAAAGATTTGGCTCTTTTTTTTCTTTCCCTCCTCCCCCAAACCACAGTTACATCCCTTCTATTATTCAATCCTCCCAATTTAGTTATGGCACAATTTTGAGAAGATCAGTATTTCACATGTTTATTGGTATTCCAGTGTAAATGCTATTTAACACCCTAAGCTGTTGACAAATGTCTAAATCTTTCTTTTTGGAACTCCTATTATTCAGATATTGGAACCTGGCCTGGGTGTTTTTTTTTTCTTTCTATTAATCCTCACCCGAAGATATTTTTCCATTGATTTTTAGGGAGAGTGGAAGAGAGAGGGAAAGACAGAGAGAAACATCGATGTGCGAGAAACACATCTATTGGTTGCCTCCTGCACAAGCCATGACCAGGACCTGGGCCGGGGAGGAGACTGCAACCGAGATATGTGCCCTTGACTAGAATTGAACCTGGGACCCTTTGGTCCGCAGGCTGACACTCTATCCACTGAGCCAAACTGGCTGGGGCTGGCCTGGGTGTTTTATATTTTGCATATCTTTATCTATTTTTTTCTAACAGATTTCTCAACTTTATCATCCAGCTCTGCTATTTAGTTTTTTGCTTCTGATAGCATTTTTTATATTCTAAGAGCTCATTTAATTCTCTGAGTGTCCCCCAGTCCAGAGACTTGTTTACCCTTCCCCAGAATTTAAACCTCTAGTTTTTTGTCAGGACTGGAGAGGGAACATTTCCCGTGGAGGAGAGTGGGAAAATGATTCTGAGAGCTTGCTGCTTCTTAAAAAAAACTTTCAACCAGTTCTATTCCTTTCACCTTAATCCAGAAGTACCTGGTGATACCAGTTTCTGAGCCTGTTGGGGGTTCTGTAGTGTAATTCCAGTCCATTGTCAGCTTTCTTTGCTACTGGCCTTAGGATTTAGTTTTTCTCTGTCTGCTAAACTATTCAGCAATCAACCAGTTGCTTTACAGCTTCCACAATTTTGATGTCATCTTTTTTCCTGTTCTGTCTTGTGGTTTTTATGTGTATAATTTGTTTTTTAAAATCACTCTATTCTTGCTTGAAAGGAATTTAGTGAAGTCAATAGACACGTGAAATCAATTTGTTTACAATAAAAGTGAAATAAAGAATTTAAAGTGCCTAACATAAAACTTGGTCATAGTAGCTCAGTAAATTTAAGTCCATTCTTCATTTCTCATATTTAGCGTGTATTCTGTTCCTCTGATACAGGTAAGATTCTACCATGCTATCATGAGATTTTAAAAATCAAAGTGCACTTCCATATTCAGGCTGGGGAGGGAAAGTTTGTACTTGGTACCAAACTACATCTTCCTCTTCAATGGATTTTTCTTTATGCAAAAGAATGAATGTTTGCCCTAATGAATTAAACGAGACTTTCATGGAAAGGGACTGTAATTTTTGTATCTTGAAAAGACTTCTTGCCTATTACGCTCATTTCAAGAGACAAATTAGACTTTATAAGCATCACACTTTATACTGTTTACAAATGTGAAAGCTTGGAAAATGTATTATAAAAACACTAGAGGCCCGGTGCATGAAATTCGTGCACGGGGGTGTGTGTCCCTCAGCCCAGCCTGCACGCTCTTCATCTGGGACCCCTTGAGGGATGTTCGATTGCCTGTTTAGGCCCAATCCTACTGGGATCGGGCCTAAACGGACAGTCGGACATCTGTCTCAAAATCCAGGACTGCTGGCTCCCAACCCCTCGCCTGCCTGATTGCCCCTAACTGCCTCTGCCTACCAGCCTGATCACCCCCTAACTACTACCATGCAAGCCTGATCAACGCCTAACTGCTCCCCTGCCAGCCTGATTGCCCCTAACTGTCCTCCCCTGCAGGCCTGGTTGCCCCCAACTGCCCTCCCCTGCAGGCCTGGTCGCTCCCAACTGCCCTCCCCTGAAGGCCTTGTCCCTCCCAACTGCCCTCCCCTGCAGGCCCGATCACCCCTAACCGCCCTTCCCTGCAGGCCTGATCACCCCCAACTGCCCTCCCTTGCAGGCCTGGTCCCTCCCAACTGCCCTCCCCTGCTGGCCATCTTGTGATGGCCATCTTGTGTCCACATGTGGGTGGCCATCTTGTGTGTTGTGTGAT